TACACAGAAAGGTCAAGAGTCGAATCAATGGTTTCACCAAAATTGATGGATAGTCAACGTGACAAGTGCCTGGAAAAATCTGATTCTGGCTGGCGGTTGAAAAACCTCTCTGACAATAACCAATTTTGCTCATGGTAGGAATGGACACATAAAACAGTCAACCAATCTTTGTAATTGTCGTATTGCCACCGCCGTCTTTCAATTTTCTATCTTAGGGTCAGTGCCCTCCTTCTGCACTGACATATTATAACAGGGGAATTGTCGATTGCAATCTTAGGTATCTTAGGTATCTTAGGTATCTTAGGTACTACCAGCGGCTAAACCTGAAAATTCAACACCCACACTCTGCGAAAAACACGTAGAGCTTTGCCGAACCCCTGGTGATTCAACCAATGGCAGCGCCCAAAAAAAAGTTCGTACTAACATATAGCGAACTGGAAAGTCATCATTTGTAATAGGTAAATCAACTACTATTTATAGAGCATTCATTATATATATAGCTGTTGATGAAACTTGGTTTATAAACCCCATCAACATCCATTTAAAAAAAATGAAAGTCAGTTGGGACGATTATTCCCAATAGATGGAAAAATAAAAATTCATGTTCCAAACCACCAACCAGTATATATATATGTGATAATGTGATATTCCAATTACATCCAATTCCAATCAACTTGAATATGATGTAAACGGGTTTTCCAAGTTCATGATGTTCATGGCATGAATGAGTACCCTCTGGTAAACTAACATAACTATGGAAAATCACCATTTTTAATGGGAAAATCAGAAAATCAACTATAAATGGCAATTTTCAATAGCTATGTTAGTTTACCAGAGGGTATATCATGTCATATGTGTCATATCATTGATGATTTGCCCCAAAAAAACCTGATTTTCCAAGGCTCCCGGCAAGGCGGACGACCCTCCTGCGATCCCTGGGATGGGGATGTCCTGCACCACGATAAGGCCATGCAACAGAAACCGAGTGTTGGCCTATGTCAGGCCTATTCTTCAGGGAATATCCCCAGAAAATATGGCCAAAAATATGGTACTAACGTAGCTCCATTTTAGGATCCTGAAATTCCCATTGAATGATACCCTCTGGTGAACTAACATAACTATGGAAAATCACTATTTTTAACGGGTAAATCAATGTAAATCAACTATAAATGGCAATGTTCAATAGCTATGCGAAAAATACCAGAGGGTAAATATTGAAGGACAAATGTGTATACGGTGATTTGGATCGATTTGGTCATAATCCTGAACTATACTCATCTGAATTGTCCTGAAAGTATATGCAATTAAGATCATTAAATACAGCAGCAGCAGCAGCAGCAGACAAACCAAGTGACAAATATTCAAGCAACGTCGGTCTGACAGCAAGCTCATGCAAATATAAGATAGATATCGCAAGGTCGTAGGCTCATATTTTGCTGGCTACAAATATAGAGGGTCAGAAAATGGTACAGTAGAGCAAATACTGTTCGCATCTTTTGCCACCTAAGACCTACAATTATCATGGCGTTCAACCTTTCTATCTACTATGCCTATCTGTGTCGAAGCTGTTGATGGAACCCCCTTGTTGTGTATGATTTTGTTTTGAATATAGCTGCATCCTTGTTGCTATCTTCCAGCCAAGTTTTGGCTCAACCATATCAATACAGTGCTGGGCTAGGACAACAGTCGTGGGGCAAGTTGCTCAAGTGGCACACCGTTTTGAGTAACGGCTAAGTCGACACGGTCTTGAGCCATAGCAGTTTGGTTTGAGAAGACACAGCAAAACCAAATGGTTGTTTGTGGTACAACATGAAATAAGTGGGGCTACTACAATCCAACAAAAAACGACACTTTATGAAAACTTCACAAATTTTCATATATACAAGTATATTTAATCTGCAAAATTTACTTTAAATTCAAAACGGTTTCCTCGTCTTAAATCTACTTTTCCCCTCTGATTAAATCTTCAGTCCTCGCCTCGTTACATTCAAAACGGATTTCAGCCCTCGTCCCATTTCTTTCTCGACCGCAAGCCATTCGAACTAGTCCTCTGCCTCCTTTTGGGTTGAACTTTTTTGAATTATCTTTGTCGTCGTTGCAGCAACGCTCTGGGCTCCAGAGGCTTGGGGATGCTGAAAAAACTTTTCAGGGCCTAAAAAGTTTTTTCCTGTTTCCGAGATGCCTCTTTTACAAGCGGATTTGCAGGGGCTCGATTCCCCCCAAATTCGACCCCAGAGAAGAGAAGCTGCAGCAGCAGCACCAAGATACCCCGCTACACCTCAAGCTTTAGCAATTTTAGAATCTAGTCGCGCTACCTGGGAAAGGTGAATAAGAACTATTGACCAAAATTTCAGGGTTCCCTAGGGTTCTTATTTCAATTAGCTGGTAGACAGAGTTGAATCCAGCAATCCATCCCCTGAGGTTCTTAATGCAGTGGGTTCTTAAACAGTGGTTTCACTGTAGAACAAATACGGAAGTCCTGGAACAACCGGGCATGCCACCACAGGGCACTGACTGAATTACGATAAAAAAAACTTTTCGGGCTCCAGAAAGTTTTTTTTTCACGGGTCTGAATGCACCCTTAATTTTCTATTTTTTTCACTCTGATGGGAACAAAAAAAACTTTCTGGAGCCCGAAATGTTTTTTTTCACTCGTTGCACATGCTTTGAAAGCAATTTCTGCCCACCTCGTTTTCTGAATTTAATTAATTCACCTCGCTTAAATTGCAAAGATTCACCTCGTACCTCGTCAGCCCTCGCTCTAAATTGTGCAGATTTAATTATATACACCCTCTGGTTATTTAACATAGCCATGGAAAATGGCCCATTTATAGATGAATTTCTCATTAAAACCTCCATTTGTAAGGGATTTTCCATGGCTATGTTAAATAACCAGAGGGTATATTATATACACACATGGATTCCCCCCCAAAAAGATGACCCCCAAAAAATCCGATGGTCCTGCAGCTCCGCGGGAATTCCTGGATCCGCCGGCGACCTCAGCCGCGAGAACGGCCACAACGGGAGAACTGTCCCTATGGAAACCCCCATATAGACATGATATAGATGTAATATATATATATATTAATATATCATATATATGTTTATCATATCATACATATTATGTATAACAGTACATTATGCACTACTGGTTGGTGGTTTCAACTTAACCCCTCCGAAAAATATGAAAGTCAAATGGGATTATTGTTCCCAACTGAATGCAAAAATGAAAAAACGTTCTCAACCACCAACCAGGTAAATAGATTGTGAAATATTGCTGTAATTTAGAATGATGTCATCAAGAACGTGTAAGGTCCATTCTTTCCGCGTGTTTTGCCTTTCACTATCTGGTTGGTGGTTTTAACCATCTTGAAAAATATTGGTCATTGGGAAGGATTATCCATGATTATCCCATACATTATGGAAAATAAATGTTTGAAACCACCAACCAGCTATACAAATCATATACAGAGAAGCCTCTGCCAAAAGGCACCACGTTGTTCCGATTTTTACATCTGCCATGGCCCCCAAACGTCGGCGAAGGCATGTCCGTCGGAACCGGCATTTCCTCGATCATTTTTAAGGTGGAAAAGGAGCAACACAGGGTTCCTAAAATGGGGTTTAACGGGGTTTAATGTAATGATTATTGTTTCTTAAGTCATGGTTTGGAGCCCAAGTCGTCACCATGGGTTAACCTATACTAAGTTAGTACTAAGTCATGGTCATCCATGACTTGGATGTTAAATGGGTACCCCCATGGATTGGAAACCTCCATAAATGATTCCTGATATCGATGCTATTTCAAAAATGGTGGTATATATGTTGTACTTTACCTTTCTTGCTCATGCCAGTGCTTGGAGTTCAATGCAAGTTGTCCAAAAGGTATCAGATATGCATAAACCGGCAGTTCACCATGTGAGTCTGCGACAATCCATCCCAATCTGTTCGTGATTTTGTAGGATATCAAGAGATTACTGGCACATACTGGTACTCCAGATCCGCCATTGAATCATTGATTATAGTACCTTTTCCTGGAGGGAAACGAATCTTTCTTGCGTTTTTTCGCGGTGCCGAACACTCCCAACGTGAAAAGTCATGGCAGGTCGTCCAAGTCACAGTGGGAGATGGCAAAGCAAATGCACCTTGATGGACGAGAAACTGGATTTCCCTATCAGGAGAGGGGAAAAAGACTTGACTGCCTTAGTTTCTTGGTATTTCATGGGTATTTGATGCCCAATCTTAATATTATTTAATATTGTTGCTGTCACTATCTGTCACTCCTAATTTCATTTTGGTGACCTCAGCTTCTGTCGATTCTGCATCCCACAAAATCGAGCGTCAAAACAGTTGTGTCACTGCTAGGATTCCGGCTATCCTCCATCAGCTCAGCTGATCTCCTCATCAGAGGGATCTTGATTGGGCTTTGCCGGACATTTTTCACGGTCGAAATCCTGGCTTACCCCAACAACGATTGGGATTCCACGGGCATTTTCACTTCAACGACTCTTGTCTTTTTTGGGTCATGACCAATCTCAGTTTGTTGCTGGGTGACCATGCTTCGAACCACGCTCTAATTTTTCTCTAAATCCAGGGACATCTCAGTGGCACCTGTTAGCTTCATGGTGTCAAGACCACAAGCGACTTGAAGCTATTCTCATGTTTTTCATGGCTGTTTCAGTTAAGCGGACAATATTGGTCACTTGGATTCAACACCCAAAGTATGCATAGGACAAAATATGAAACATATCTCAGGACTTGAAACGAGGTGCAAAAAAAAACAGGCCGAAGATCAGGAAAAGAGCTGCTGAAGAGGATAGGTATACGGTATCTAGGTATTTGGCCAGCTGATTTCTGATCAAGGGATTTGAGGGCATTGAGTCAACACACCTTGATTTAGGGTATGAATTTACTAATCATTAGAATCATTAGCCATCCATTTAATCCCATTCTGGATGTGTTAGGTTGTCTAATGTTTATCAGATAAGTCACCAGAAAACCAGCTCCTCTCTGCATCCATCTGTGGCATCTCTGTGGGCGACTTCGCCGGTTCTGGCAAGCTCATTAGATGATGAAATGATCAATGATAATGGTCAAAGCATTATTTTCAATCACATGTTCCGCATAACTCACACTGATTCATTCTCAAGATTTATTAAGAAACTGGTCCTGGTGATTGTGATCATTATTCTTTTTGTTGATGAAATTTGAAGACGCATTTGATGATTGTGATAGTGAAATGACCACAGCTACAATGACGACAGTGATAACCAACACTAATGACAATGTTGAACAAAATAGCATTGATGAAAAACATGATGATAAGAATACTGAGTAACAAAGAAGACACAACCAATTGACAAGACTGAAGTAAGGTGTGATGGACCAGTTTTTGCCATTGTCGCGTCTGGACTGCCACTGAATGGTGCTGATCCTCAATGCAGGAACCTCTAGGGATCCATGATCCATGAAAAACTTCGAAAAACCATGGAGGAAAGCCACCACGCCTGCAGCGAGGGGATCGGAGGGATCCCGTTCAGTCACCTGGCTCCAGCGACAAGCCACCCTGGTCGAGCCATGGATATCTGGCCGAGCCACCCATTACCCTCTGGTGAACTAACATAGCAATGGAAAATCACCATTTTTAATGGGAAAATCCACTATAAATGGCCATTTTCAATAGCTATGTTAAATTACCAGAGGGTATCCATTTTACAGGGGTGGAGACGGTGGAGAGACAGAAAAAATTGAACCCACCAATTGATGTTTCGCCATGTTCGGCCCACGAAACTGACCAACCCACTATAAAAACCTGGGATTCCAAACATGGGCAGACCCACAGCTTTCGGGCTTGCCAATGGTTCTCACAGCAGGAGGGTGCTATTACTTACGGTAGTTTTGAGATATCCTGAGAACATGTTCATTTTTCGAGATTGCTTTTCCAGGTTTGGAAGTATGCCATTTAAAAACAAGAAAGATAGAAAAGTAAAAGCCAATTACCAGAAAAGAATGACTATAATTATATATATAATAATCAATAATTATAATAATAGTAATAATAATAATGATAATAATGATAGTAATAATAATAATGAAAATAATGATAAATAATAATACATAATAATATATTATATAAATATAAATGCAGTATATGACCAGTTGTTCTATCTGGCATAGCTGATGCCAATATAAGGATTCTCCAGCGAGTTCCACCCACCTGCGCCCGCGCAGTGGCTGCAGTTAGCCGTGCTGCCTGGGACAGGCAGCCATGAGTCAGAACTGTAGCCTCTGGTAATTTGGGTATTTTAAGGATCCTTGGTTGATCTGGTGGTTTCCTGAAATAGATAACTGGCTGGTTGGTGGTGCAATAACCATCTTGAAAAATCTATCATTAGATGACTGGATTAATCAGAATCCTCTGGTAATTGTTCACAGTTTGCTATTGAAAATGGCCCATAGAAATAGTGGATTTAGCCAGCTAAAATGGTGGATCTTTCCAGTTAGTTGTTTGTAAACGTTGACACCAGAGGATAAAGGAAGCACTGGTCACCAGGGATGTCTTGGGCTACGCTAGTTTTATCGATATCAACAGATTGAAAACACGACCAAGAACACGACCAAGCCGACCAAATCCGAAGATACCCTCTGGTAAACAGCCACATATCTATTGAACATTGCCATTTATAGTGGATTTTCCCATTAAACATGGTGATTTTCCATAGTTATGTAAACGTTTACCAGAGGGTAGACACATTGTCTGGCCAGATGTTTGGCAGAAGTTGTCAAGAAATCGACAATGCAAAATTGCAGCCGTCCCACCAACTCCCCTTAAACCATACAATCATATACACACTCCACGACGCGGTAAAAGCAAAAAGACCCACTGAGCGTTGGGATTTTCTAAGAAGCCACCGACCCAAACATATCCAAACTCTCAACGAATTCTTAACAAATCGTTCAACATATTTTTAAGTGGCAAAATGTGTGACAAAATGGATTGCCACATTTTTTTTGCCATCATTGCCACAAACCCATACTCATTTATACAAGCCCCATTGCAAATCATGTAGAGGGGCATTACAACTGGTGGCCAATACACCCCAGCATACTTGGATTGCTTACAGGGCATTCCTAGAAAGGAACTTGAGAATCGCAGATGTCTTCCAAATGGCAAAAACCTTGGGCAAGAAACCAGCCAGTTTTTAAAAAGGCTGAGAAGCTGTATAGATTAATATATATATATACATGTGTATATACACACATGTTGTTTCATGTCGGTAAACCTGCAAGCTGGGAGAAGTCCTCTTTGTTGTCCATGTTTTTTATCTCTTAAACCATGGAAAGATGCATCACATTTCTGTGGTTTTTCTGCATCTGCAAATCTTCCAACGCATCTGGGCCATCGCACGAAGATGGGTAGTTCGGCAGTGGGTTCCTGACCATGCCATCAAAATCCATCAAATGATCAAGCATCAGACTTTGTGGCACCCGATTTTCAAGCAACCAAAGGAGACTGTCCATTTATGAAAGGTTCGTTTGCTGGAGAGGTCCTATTTCTTTGGTGGCCTATGACTTAGCTTCGCGCTACACACGGACGCGACATGACCCCAAGTTTATGAATCCTGCGGTCCCTAGAATAGTGGTAATTCCGCGTATAACTCAACCTGCATGCAAATCACTTGGAGGTTCATTCGTACTAGGTTGACATAAAATATTCGAATGGCTGATCAACACCATGAACGGCTTCCTAAACCAGTTGCGCCGCAAGAATCAAACGCATGGTCACACATGTTTTCAGCAAACGATTTTTGGGGAATCGCTTCACAATCTGCAACACTCCAACCAGATGGAGGTTTCCTGAAATGGGGGTACCCCCCAAGTCATCTATTTGAAATGGGGATTTTCCAGTATAAACCATCCATTTTGGGGTACCCTCTGAAAAACTAACATAACTATTGAACATCACCATTTTTAATTGGCAAATCAACTATTTCTATGGCCGTTTCCAATAGCAAACTGTGAAAAATTACCAAGGATTATGATTAATCCAGTCATCTATTTCAGGAAGGGTAATTACCATTAGTTCACTATTAGCCATGAATAACCACATTAACCATAGATATTTTTCCATTGACTAATATTTTTCAAGATGGTTAAAACCACCAACCAGCCAGTACCTCGCCTCGCGCGTGCGCGTGGGCACGGACGGCTGCCTTGGAAGGGGCACGGGTCACGGTGTTGAGATCTGACCCCGCTGTTAGTAAAATATATGGAAACATCATATAAATATAAATATATACATATACATGTACATATATACATATACATATACATATACAGATACAGATACAGATACATATATACATATACATATATACATATATACATATATACATACATGTGTATGTATGTGTATATATATACGTATATATATATATGTATATACATATATATATATCTAGGGATGATATAAACATTACAATGACTGCTGGCTCTTTTAATCGTCTTATAAAGTCACCTTAAATCATCTGTAGTCATCTTACCCTCCAGCAAATTAACATATTATATATATCTGGAAAAGAACACAATGTGATGATACTTGAATTCCCCCATGAGATTTTCACAATATTCTGTTGGTTTCCCAGACAAAGTCAGCTGATGATGCAATCACTAAATCATCTGAAATCAGCTGAAATCAGCCGGTTGTTGTGTATCTATCTTCTGGCTGAATCAGTGTAATTCACCTGAACAAAAATATCCTAAACATCATTCCAGCGTCGCGAGGGGAGGTCTTTGTGATGCCAGAAGTAGGTCTGGTTCAATCCCTATTCCCTACTACTGTACAGTAATCACTTAACTTAAGCCCTCTTTTCATCCCTATTTTGGGGACAGACATCCCCATTTTGTTGGGCTGAAACCTCTTAGAAATCAGAAACGTAACTAACTCTCCATCTGAGCAACCCTGGCTCACTTGGCAGAGGCATCAAGGTGGGCACATTGATCGTGGCTTCCACCGTGGCTTCCACCGTGGCCTCCGCCGTTTCCGTAGCGAACTGTTGACTTACCGGAGACACTTCTTAGCATCAATAAGCCTGATAAGCCCATGGTCTATGTTCTAATTTGCGCGCTCTTATTTCATGGCAAAAAATAAGGACATTGCAGAAGTTGGGATCAGTATAGTAATTCTGGGCAAATCACTGTCATTCCCAAATCAGAAATCTGCGCCAATGTTGGGATAAACCATGATAAACCTCTCAACATTGGTGGTGACTTCTTTGCCAGGTCGCTATAACTTGCCCAGAATGAAAGAATACCATGTCACATGGTTGGCAAATACGATATCATGGATCGGTGATGAGACCAAGCATGATGGAGACATGATATCGTGAGGATATGATGGGGATATCGGATAAAGGGAAACATGTATGTATATATATATATACATACATATAATGTGGGCAAAATTGTGAGATATACGTATATATATATATATATATTATTAATAATAATAATTATTATTATTACTATTAGTATTATTATCATTATTATATATATATATTTAGAGAAAAACGTGGGGATAGACAATTGCGACAAAAGCACCCATGTAGGGTAGATACTGGCATATGTGGAGGATAGATCCACGCAAATTTGATGATTCAATTACACATCTGATGTTTGTATCTGATGTTTACATCTGATAAACCAGGATTTCCCAATCAGCCAATTCCGACCCATACCCATAGGATATGGCATGTCATATACCTGTTCCCTAGCACCATGGTCCGGCCTCTCCCAGTGGTGACGTTGGAGTTGGCAACTCGGTTGGCACCTGAAAACAATATCTGATTGTTGGTTGTATATATATCCCATGATATCGTGGTATGTAATATCGTGGTAATATCATGGTAATGTCCCAACATATCATCATATCCCATCATATCCCATCATATCTCATCGTCGGTTCTTTATCTAATTTTCTATCAGGGTTGGTGACATACCACCCCCCTTTATGTTGGTTCAACCGAAGGGTGGGATATCCGGTCATAGATGGTTGCGTTTCGCCCTTGCAATGTAGTTGGTGCTTAGAATGTTCTATATAAACTAACATAAATATAGAAAATCACAATTTTTGATGGGAAAACTCACTATAAATGGCCATGTCCAATAGCTATGCTAGTCATTACCAGAGGGGAACATGATTTGGGGTTGTCTGGGTAGGTTCCCCCATTATGGTTGATTTTAAAAGCCCGTCTATCCCCCAAAAACATCACCTTTGTGGTCCCTCCTGGTTGTAGCCTTACATCCGTGTTTTTGTGCTTCCTCCAAAGCATGTGGGTTGTATATGTAATAATATAATCAATGGGAATTCCAGGATCCTAAAATGGAGGTACGTTAGTACCATATAAGGCCATATTGTGTGGGGATATTCTCTTACATAGGCCTTACATAGGCCTTATATATGGTAGGTACCTCCAATTTAGGATCCTGAAATGGCCATTGATATCATGTAATACGTATATATATATATATACTGGTTGGTGGTTTCAACCTACCCCTCTGAAAAATGATGGAGTTCGTCAGTTGGGAGTATGAAATTCCCAATATCATATGGAAAAAACAACAAATCATGTTCGAAACCACCAAGCTGCAAAATATATCCCACTCGTGTGTCATGATTGGTTTAATCCCCCAAGGTTTGGACCGGTTGGATACACATGTTCTTCGTAAAAGATTCTCATTTTTGACAGGTCCCGTAGTCAAACCAATGGTATGTAGATGTATGTAGGTAGGGTATGGCTATCCCACCATCATGTGAGATTCCTGATCATGGGTTTATCAAACTCCATTCATGGGGGGATGGGCAGTCCCCACTTCTGGAAAATAGACCATGTAACTTGTCCATGGCACATGTAGTTTCTCCAAAACAGCTCCTTCCGCTACGTGGGTGTGTCGATAATATCTATACCCTGAAAATTCCGGTTGGATGTGGATATATGTGGATACATGTAGATGGAGTGGAAGTTTTCCCCAAACTTTTCAGACAATACCCTCTGGTAATGACTAACATAGCTATTGAAAATGACCATAGAAATAGTTGATTTATATACCCATTACAAAATTATGTTTTTCCATAGTTACGTTAGTTTACCAGAGGGTATCCCCATTATATCCCCATCATATCCCCATGAACAATGTTAATGGTGATTTACCCATTAAACATGGTGATTGTCCATAAGTTATGGGGCCATTTATAGTGGATATACCCATTAAAAATGGTGATTTTCCATATAACTTGTCATATGGGCTTGGCCACCATCTCGATCATCCCGTCATTTGATCTGTCGATTGCAACGAGGCACTGCCACACTGGGTGAATCGATGGGCGCACTGCTGTCCACCAAACCTGGCACTGTTGAGGTAGCACTGGGTTGTCTCAACAGTGGCCAAATGTGGCCAAATGTCGAAGTCAACCATAAAAAATGGGGATTTCAAGGGAACATATCAAGATTTGACCCGCAACAATGAGAATCTAACCACTTTTCCGCTGTTCCGATTTGCGTCGAGGGCACGGCTACGCAGAGACCTTGACGTGAGAATCTAACCAGCCAAAAATGGAATGAAGAGGCAGAAAATGATTGAAGCAGTAAAACAGGTACTTAACCACAAAGAATGGGCTGGGAGGTATAACTAACCAACATTTTTTGGTAGAGCATTGTATACCCACCCCATCGGTAATTCAATTTGGAAAGTCAATGATAATGGATGCGTTTTTTGGATACAGTTTTGGGCTGTGGGCTGTGGGTCATTATCTGAGATTAGCATGATTAGTCGAACAAATTCTACCTATTTAACACATCTGAACACATCTGCCCTCTTTATTCTCGTCGAAACTTCAAGTTCTTGTTGATTAAATTATCTTAAATCGAGGTTTCCAATCCATGAGAGGGTACCCCCGAATCATCCAAGTCATTTTTATCATGACTTAGTATAGGTTAACCCACCCCGACGACGATCCAAACCATTGTGTCAGAAACCCCCAATGGTGATAGAAATGACTATCTGGTTGGTGGTTTCAACCCTACCCCTCTGAAAAATATGAGTCAAATAGTCAATGAGAAGGATTATCCCACATAATTATTATGGAAAGTGAAATTCATGTTCCAAACCACCAACCAGGAAATGATTACCCTCTGGTAATTTAACATAGCTATTGAAAATGGTCATTTATAGTTGATTTTCCCATTAAACATTGGCATGTTCAATAGCTATGTTAGTTTACCGGAGGGTATAAATCCACAAGGCAGAATATCCACATGTACCCTCTGGTAAACTAACATAGCTATGGAAAATCACCATTTTTTATGGGAAAACTCACTATTTCTATGGCCATTTTCAATAGCAAATTGTATGTTTACCAGAGGGTATCCACAGCAATCGGTGAAAGTATGACGACTTCCTTAGATCCCTGGCCTGATGACATCAAGGCTGAAGACATCCGCCCCGAGGCAGGCGGAGGCTCCAGTGCCTGGCGGGGGGAGCCAAAAACCATCGGCTTCCAAAGACAATGACCACTGTTGGAGGATTTTTAGGGAATTGTCAGAATTGTCCATTTTTGTGAAACCCAAAAATTTGGAACCAGTGAAAAAAAAATCTTCCAGTTTTTCAGTTGAGTTCAAATAAGTGACTGCATTTCATTGTATTTCTGCATCTTTTGGCTCAGTACATAACTTAGTGGGCGTAAGAACGTTGATCTTGTTTCAAGATGGTTATGAAATTTTGACTCAATGACCATCAACAATTATGTTTATCGTATTTAATGGGCAGACAACCCAACAAATAGGGATATAATGGGCTATAAATCAACCCCTGTTTAGGACTGGCATTGGGGCGGTTTTATTGCAAAGAGGTTCAGAATGAGAAGCATCCAAAATGTGCTGCATTCATTCTCTACAGCCTATCAGTAATTTTCCTGGGGTGGTCGCACCCAAGTCGGACAAGTGAGCCCGAAATTGGGAGGATTCTCAGTGTCCAATCACGGGTGACATCATGGGTCCCAACGCCGGAGGTCTCCTTAAATGGGGCTACCCATTTGATCACCATAGGTTTCAATATTAAAATAGTCAATAGGTTTGGATGATTTTGGGGTAACCCATGGTAATCCTATGGTATTGGAGCCTGCCCGCTTGCCACGGTTGGAAAGCTTTGCACTGGCCTTGGACTGGGACTCGGAGTCAGCTTTCATAAACCAGAAAGGTAGATCTTGACGCACAGTTGACCCATGGAAGAGGGTTTAAATACTACTACAGATCAACTGATAGTCTGCATAGATAAGGATTGGTAATGCAAAAACACTTCCATCCTCAGCCTCGCAACGCGATTGATTCAAATAGTTTGCATCAAAGCATCCTATCTGTGTGACCAATGTGCACGGACATCAAGTGAAAGCCTTCGGCCAGATGGCTCCCGGATACCAAGTTTCCTGACTGCGAAACCGTTCTCGTAGGCTGGTGCTCCGTGATGGTGTTTGCCTGAACCAGTGACCAAATAATGGAAAGATCACCACCATTAACATTAGCATATTATATATAAACCATATATATATATAAACCATATAATATAAACTATATATATATCAACATCAACCACTTCAAGGTGATGCTTAAAAACACAACAACACTGTGAAAAAATGATGGCCATTAACCAACCCTTGGGTGTTTTTCACTGCATTGATTCGGGCCCCAGGTCGTCAGAATTGTTGATGGATCTGGGTAAAGTGTATTAATTCACTGACCTGAATTTTTGGGTTATCTGAGAATATTTCCCTTACTGATAAATGTTTAAATGTGTTTTTTGATGCCCCTAGAATGCTGCAGCATATCTTTAGCCTCAAAGTTCAAGGACATTCCAACTTTGCATGAAGGTAGTGTCCACAATGGGTTCCCAACCTTTCACAGCTCTGCTGCCTACAGAGATAGCCATCTGGGTTTGTCTGAAAATTAAATAGGTACCCAAACATTTGATGACTAATCATCATCAGTTTCATTAAAAATTGTTACTTCATAGGTATATATGGTTATCCCCGTATCCCCATACTCAGATTTTGATTAAAACATGGAACTACATGGAGGTTTCCTAAAATGGGGGGTACCCCCAAATCATCCATTTTAGTAGGATCTTCCATTATCATCCATTTTGGGGTACCCAAGAAAAAGTATGAAACTCCCATATATATATATATCAAACTCAATTATTGGTGTACCACCATTTTGGGAAAACCCCATATGGACATGGAGATTCCCCCTATGTCTCCCGATAACCTCATCCTCAGCGGGCGAGGTGGGCGATGGCAGCTCGGTTGGGACAGGCATCTCCTGTCCAATGCACGAAGGAAAGGGGATGCGTTTATATATGTACATGCGTGTGTATATATCTCTCTATATATATATATATATATGCATGCACGCACGCATGCATGCATGCACGTATGCATGTATGTATGTATGTATGTATGTATGTAGGTACATACGTATGTATGTATGTATGTATGTGTATCTCATGTAAATAAATATGTATGTGTGTATGTATGTGTATGTAAATATATATATATATGCGTCTATTTATATATTTATGTCACTGTATATATATATATATATATGTTTGTGTATATATGTTAATATATATATATATATGTGTATTTATGTGTATATATATATAAACAAACATTATTTGTGTCTATCTGTGTATATATATATATATGTCTATGTATGTAATTGTATGTATGTATAATATGTATAATGTCACGTAAATATGTAGATAACTACCATTATATATATATATCTCTCTCTCTGTGCGTGTCTTGATTATGCTGGTGAGCATATTCCACTGGAAGTTAGAGTTCTAATCAGATTTCTGGTTCGTGGTTTAGCCAGCCAGGCAAGAAATAGAAATCAGTCGAAGCAATTCAGGTGCAGTACACAGAGGAATTCAAACCTCCAGCCAGTTGTAACTTCTATGTGATTTCAATCCCAACGCCTCAATCTTGAGGCGGTGCAACGAATGAGCCGAAAAGAACCCTCATCCAAAAGCATGCACTTGGGGTATCTGCGCACCATTACATGCTATAATGGCTGCAAGCTAAATCGAGATGGATTCTTCACTATTCCACCCATATGATAAGCCCAAGTTCAAGGCCCATGTTTCCAAAATTGATACAGTCAAATCCCCGAGTGGTAAATTAGCACATGACATTTTCTCTTTGGGGAATATATATATATATATGTATACCCGCAAACGTTGCTAAAATTGCCATATGTCACTTTCGAAATCTGCATTTTGTGCAGGCGAAACGCGTTTTTTCTATTTTCACCCCGAAAAAAATGCATTCTAACCTGCGGCCACCAATGAATTTGAGCACGTGCATTTGCGTGGCAGGCGCGGTGTTTTGCGATGGTTGTAAAAATATATGTTTCATTTTCGCTGGCACGCACGCGGGATTATCGCGTTTTTGATGCGACGTTTTATGTTTTTTTGGTGTGTTGGGGAGGGGTTCGGGGGGGTGGAGTGGGTGCGGGGTGGGTGGGGGGTGAGGTGGGGCGATCATAATGTTCTCACCGCGCCTATCATGTTGCGCTTTCAAATTTCCTGTGATCATTTTCACTACTCAAATCTCTTGTGAGCCACTTTTCATGTTACGCCCTTAACATTCTTGATGTTACGCTGTTGGTTTCCTTACGTTTATGTTAACACGCTGTTGATGGTACGCTGTTGACTTTCTTATGTTTGTGCTAACACGCTGTTGATGGTACGCCGTTGACTTTCGTATGTTTATGTTAACACGCTGTTGATGGTACGCTGTCAGCTTTCTTATGTTTGTGCTAACTTGCTGTTGATGGCACGCCGTTGATTTTCTTATTTTTTGTTGACACGCTGTTGATGGCACGCTGTTGACTGTCCTATGTTTATGTTAACACGCCAGATCTCCCTTGGACGCAATACATGCACAAAAAAAACTGATAAATGTTCAGGTCCTTGCTGCAGCCGCGTTGCATCGAAAGCCAGGTCTCCAACAAATTTTGAATGCCATTCGGCTGTGCAGAAAGGAACGCGCCGCTGGCCTTATCAGAGTGTCACCTAGCGACTCCTTCAATGCTGCACGCCTTCAGAGGCTCCAGTGAGATGATAAAAATGTTTCCTACATGTGTTCCTGCGGGGCAAGTTTTTGAAAAAAAAATACAACGGTGAAAATTGGAAAATTAACATAAACCTTCAGTTTTTAGCCCTTTCGGGCGACGGCGAGACATAGGGTTTGCACGTATATATATATATATATATATGTATATGATCGAGAGACCTTTAGGTACCATTTTGTTCCGGTTAATTATGATAAATTTTAAAGCTTTTTGGAAAATTGAGAGGATTTAAAGAATTAAATGATTTAATCCTTTTAATCCTTTTAATCCTTTTAATCCTCCAGAGCCTTTGGGGGATTAAACGGATTAAAAGGATTAAATCATTTAATCCTTTTAATCCTCCAAAGCCTCTGGAGGATTAAAAGGATTAAAAGGATTAAATGCTTGGTCCTCACATTGGGGTTCTGGGGGGTCTGGAGGATTAAAAGGATTAAAAGGATTAAAAGGATTAAAAGGATTAAAAGGATTAAATGATTTAATCCTTTTAATCCTTTTAATCCTCCAGAGCCTTTGGGGGATTAAATGGATTAAAAGGATT